ATATAAGTTTAAGTGAATTAAACATACCATATTATAATTATTAATTCTTAGGGCCCTGCTTGACCTTATATAAGATTAAATAACCTATATTACAATTCTTAATTCTTGGAATCGTACTTCACCGTATACAAGTTTAAGTGAATTAAACATACCATATTATAATTATTAATTCTTAGGGCCCTGCTTGACCTTATATAAGTTTAAGTGAATTAAACATACCATATTATAATTATTAATTCTTGGAGCCATGCTTGACCGTATATAAGATTAAATAACCTATATTACAATTCTTAATTCTTGGAATCGTACTTCACCGTATACAAGTTTAAGTGAATTAAACATACCATATTATAATTATTAATTCTTGGAGCCATGCTTGACCGTATATAAGATTAAATAACCTATATTACAATTCTTAATTCTTGGAATCGTACTTCACCGTATACAAGTTTAAGTGAATTAAACATACCATATTATACTTCTTAATTCTTGGAATCGTACTTAACCCTACATAAAATTAATTGAATTAATTTCAAATATATATATATATATATCACATTACTATTATTACTTCTTGGAATCATGCTTGATCATACTTAAAGTTAACAGGAGCCATATATTATATTCCTCAGTATTAAAATCTTATCCAAATAAGTTATGTTTTTAATATTTAACACATTCTCCGTAACAAAAATATTAGTGTCTACTTCTTATAGTAATCCTCGTTATCGAAGAATTATTAAAACATTTAAAAAAATATCGATCTGTAGATTTTTTCAGAAGTCTGTCTAAATACGATTGAAACGATGTTATTTAGCTTTATCTTCTGACAGTAGCCAAACTTACAAACCGATTCTTGTGTCCAAGAGAATGAAACCAGTTAAATTTTACAATTCGCTTGTTGAATCCGACATTTTCTTAAACTACAAACCGACTGCTTATCCACCAGAATTAAATCGCTTTTAATTACACATTGATCATTAATTTAAACAGATTGAAATAGAATAACACTTACAAACCGATTGAAATAGAATAACACTTACAAACCGATTGTTGTGTGGTAGTCAACAGAATGAAACTGATTAAAACTTACAAACCGATTGTTGTGTATTAGTCAACAGAATGGAATAGAATAACACAAACCGATTGTTGTGTGGTAGTCAACAGAATGAAACTGATTAAAACTTAGAAACCGATTCTTGTGTCCAACAGGCTAAAAGTTGGGCCTTTTCAACATTCATGTTGAATTGGTGTGTGTGAATGGAGCTGCACATTTTTTCATGTTTCCAAACAACTAACTTGAAATCAAATATACTTTTTTCTTCACTATACTCATTTTACCTGACAGCTAGAATTATGTGACATAATCCAAGTATATGAAAAACAAAAACTTAAAATTTTATAATTAGTTATACCAGGTACATATTTACTGACGTGTCGGAAACAGTCCTTAAGAGACTTCCTTTTCTTCGCAAAAATCCACGAGATTCCTTTTTGAAAATCACAGTTTCTGTAACCAGCAGTGTTCAAAAATGAAACACTGAAGATTGGAAGACAGAGAATGGAAGATGTCAGAAGTGCTACAAGATAGTCACTTTGTGCATTATTCACATACTTTTCCATATTGGCTTGAGATAGTAAAAGACTGACCGAATATGTATAACGATAACTGTTTAACCACCATGTAACAGTAGCATTGTTCCCCTGACTTATTCGGAGTTTTTAGGCATTAATCATATTAGAAAAAGGTTGGTACCAGACTTCAGACACCATTAGAACTACTCTTTTTTTTTCCTTATCTTCTGTTCTTCTTTTCCGGCAGAACTTCTGAGTTTATTAGATGCTGGTTTTAACGGTGGTGGTCACTAAATTGGTCTGCTTGTTAAATCGTAGTTATTTTTAAACAACAAATAAAGTATTGTGTGTTCATTATTAAGTTTAGTATCTCCAAGTCATATTGTTGCACTTACTTTTCTTATGTATCCTTTGTACTGTGCAGCATTTTGTCCCTGTCTGTATACATAATGTGCAACATTTTGTCCCTGTTTACACGTATAATGTGCAGCATTTTGTTCCTGTTTACACGTATAATGTGCAGCATTTGACCCTGTCTGTATGTATAATGTACAACATTTTGTCCTAGTCTGTTTGTATAATGTGCAAAATTTTGTCCCTGTCTGTATGTATAATGTGCAACATTTTGTCCCTGTCTACACGTATAATGTGCAACATTTTGTCCTTGTCTGTTTGTATAATGTGCAACATTTTGTCCTTGTTTACACGTATAATGTGCAGCATTTTGTCCCTGTCTGTATGTATAATGTACAACATTTTGTCCTTGTCTGTTTGTATAATGTGGAACATTTTGTCCCTGTCTACACGTATAATGTGGAACATTTTGTCCCTGTCTACACGTATACTGGGTTAAAAGAAGATTGCGATTTTAGGAAAACACGTACGTTCAAAAATGAATTAAAGATAAAAATACGAAGCCCTATAACCTGAGCGCTTTCGAAAGATGAACCTTTCTTCTTTAGGGGCAAAGTGGCTTTAATTTGTGAAATATGCCCTAAGACTACCTAACTCTGATTATGATACACAAATTTTATGGAATACCAAACGTAACACCATATAAAGATCAGTCGTATATGCAATGAAAGTGTGTGTTAATCTGTTTTGAGGAAGGCAGGGTTGTCTGAACCCTTATATTCAGTTTTCTCCACCGGGGGTCTTTCTTTCTTATCATGAGTAGTGGTGGGGGAACTCCTTCGATGGAAGTCCTTGTCAACAGTTTCTTCTTTTAGTATAATATTATCTATTTCGATATCTGTTGGAGAAGCCACACGCATTTTCTCTAACGGTGACATCATCTCGGTCGCTGTTGTTTTGTCGTCCTCAATGTCCTTGTTATCAGCACCTGCGGAAGGAAAAGATAACACAAATTTAAAATAAGACAAACTTGAATTCCTCTTCTACGTTGTAACCTCAATGTCTTTTTTTATTTTTACTTTCAAACTCAACAAGAGAACTGTTCAAAGAATGCGTCACTGATAAGAATGAATACCTGCAAAAAATTGTGATTACCACCTTCTGTTAAAACAAAGATTCTGATTATAACTTCCTGTAAAAATAAAGATTGTGAATACCACCTTCTGTAAAAAACAAAGATTGTGATTGTAACCTCCTGTAAACACAAACATTGTGATTACCACCTTCTGTAAAAACAAACATTGTGATTACCACCTTCTGTAAAAAGAAAACATGTTATTACTACCTCCTGTAAAAACAATGATTGTTATTACCACCTCCTGTAAAACAAAGCATGTGATTACCACCTCCTGTAAAATCAAAGATTGTGATTACCACCTTCTGTAAAAACAAAGCACGTGATCACCACCTTCTGTAAAAACAAAAATTGTGATAACCACCTTCTGTAAAAACAAAAATTGTGATTACCACCTCGAGTAAAACACTAAAATGGTTGTGATTATGACCTCGAGTTAAATATTAATAATAAGATTGCGACTATCACTTAGAGCAGTGTTTTCCAAACTTTAAATAGCGGCGCCCCTCTAACTCAGCAAATGTTCCGTTGCATCCCCCTCTTCACACTAAAATAATTTTAGCACGTGATAACAGCAGAAATCAACATTTTCTCTTCCTATTTTTAAAATGATTCTAAGAAGTGAGTAAATGCGAAAGCAGACAAAAAAAAAAAGACTTTGAGAGCCAATTGATAGTTTTGCTAGGTTATCGTCGTCTGCAACTCTTCTGTTTCTTTTATCTTTATTTTTTCGCCCTCTCACTAAAAGAGCACCACACAGTTTGAAAAACACTGACCTGGATTAAACCATAAAATAAGGTTGTAATTACCACATTATAAAGAATACTGTGATTTTCAGCTCAAGTAAAACATAAACAATTATTAATGCACGATTTAAGAAGTAATTTTTAAATAATATATGTATATCTAATAAGAAAGGAGGACAACTTAACATATAATAATCCTAGAATTAAACAAATTGCAATAAATCAGATTTCTAACAACAAATTCGCTGTTTCTATTTATACTGATACTAGAGCCTTGGGGTGATTCCTTAAGATATTCTCTACATGAAAATGTAATCCTATATAGAACTACAACAAATTGCATACTATCCTTCTCAGTTCAACATGAATAAGATGGCGTTGATCAATTCTAGTTCTAAACTATGTTTTAATTAAACACATGCGATTACCGTTTCTGACTTTCTCTTCCTTTCCACTAGTTGCCAGAGCACCGTCTCTCTTGCGAAGCCACAGGTAGTACAACATTACATACAAAACGCCCATGAAGGCGCAGAAAGCTGCATACAGTTGGTACGTCGTTCGACTTCCCAAGTTGTCAATCATAAAGCCACCAATAACGCTACCTAGCGCCCTCCCTAGACAATGAAATAATAATGTACAAATTATAGAAATTAGAAACAAAAGCAGGGAATAGAGTCAAACAAAGGTTGTATCAAGTTTTGATCGGGTGAACAGTACACACTAAAATATATAAAGTATGACAATATAAAACAGTAGAATTAGAAGTGTATAAAGTATGGTAATATAAAACAGTAGCATTATAAGTGTATAATATATGGTAATACAAAATAGTAGGATTAGAAGTGTATAAAG